CCTATGATGCTGTTTGGCCTGCTGTGTTCATCCAGCTCTGCACCTTGTTGTCTCAGATTCTCCAGCATCTGCAGTTCCTACTATCTCTGCCTCCATAGCAGATTGTTTCAGGAAATGTTGTGTTACACAATACTTGACTCTCTAGTGCAGTTATGTGTGTGACGGCACTGGAAAACCCACACATACAATTGATTCCTGGTGAATTAGTTCCTGGCTTTTTACGACATTAACACAATATATAACGGTGAATGACGATGATTCCGAAAACTCCATAAATAAGTAATTAGGCGCAGTTTAGATCAGGACCACGTCATCATTAAGGGCATTTGCCTTTTCTAGTCTGAGATCCTGGATGGTCGAAACAAAAGCAGAAATTGCTGGAGAAACTCAGCAGGTCTGGCAGTATCTGTGGAGAGAAAGTAGAGTTAACGTTTCGGGTCCAGTGAACCTTCTTCAGTTCAGAAATGTTAACTCTGCTTTTTCTCCGCAGATGTTACCAGACCCACTGAGCTTTTCCAGCAATTTCTGGTTTTGTTTCTGATTTCTAGCATCCACAGTCCTTTGGTTTCCTGCATGGTAGAGTTGGGTGGAGACATGAGCAGGTAATGATTGACTGATTCATTTAAGGCTCTGTACTTGATAGGAGACCATTGCAACATTGAACCTGATCCCAGTACGGGTTACCGATTGTTAATAGATATGGGCCGTAGCTGATGACATGGCTTTCTTCCATTGTTCTACCCAGCTGGATGCAGACCGAGATGAGGAAGAGGTGTTTTATGACATATCTGTGGCAGTCGACAACAAATTGTTTCCTACCAAAGAACCTGTGGCTGGTAAGTTCCAAATCTAATGGACAACTATTTATATTCGTGTTGAAAATGACAGATGTAAAGGAATTGTAGACACTTACATTGTCATAGAATCATGTACAGCACGGAAACAGACCCATTGGTCCAACTCGTCCGTGCCGACCAGATGTCCTAAATTTATCTACTCCCATTTGCCAGCATTTGGCCCATATCTCTCTAAAACCTTCCTATTCATATACCCATCCAAATGCCTTTTAAATGTTGTAAATGTACCAGCCTCCACCACTTCCTCTGGCAACTGAAAACGTTAGGTCCCTTTTACGTCTTTCCCCTCTTGCCTTAAACCCATGCCCTCTAGTTTTGGACTCCCTTACCCTGGGAAAAGACTTTGGTTATTCATCCTATCCATACCCCTCATGATTTTATAAACCTCTATAAGCTCACTCAGCCTCTGACGTTTCAGGGAAAATATCTTCAGACTATTCAGCCTCTCCCTATAGCTCAAACCCTCCAAGCCCAGCAAGGGGACAATACGAAGGATAATACATCAACACTGACTCGAATATGCTATTGTCAGAGTCACTCCTAAGTATAAGTGTAAGGTTTAAGAACCTGGAAGTGGTTCGGTGATTTTTCCCTGATACATTCAAGAGGAAGTCATGGGTTTCAATCCCAAAAGGAGGGGATGACTGAAAGAGAATCTTCCAGAAGGTGGTTTGATAGAAGGGAAAAGACAGGCCTGAATAATTTCCTCTGAGCTGTGGAGTATGATGAGGAGACAAAGTAAATTGCAAAACGTCTTCGCATAGACCGTGGTGAGTCTGTGGAATTTTCTGCTTCAGAAAGGCCAAAACATTGAATGTTTTCAAGAAGGAATTAGATATAGTCAGAAGTCACATGACACCATGTTATAGTCCAACAGGTTTATTTGAAATCACTTTCCTGCCTTTTTTCGCCATAAACCTATCTCATCCTTGAGTATACTTAATGAGCCAGCCTCAGCAGCTCTCTGTGGTAAAGAATTCCACAGATTAACTCCTCTCTGATAGAATAAATTCCTCCTCATCTCATTCTTAAATGTGTGAGCCCTTCCTGAGTTTACAGCCTCTGGTCTTAGAGTCTCCCACGAGGAAAATGACCTCTCCTGCAGAGTCAGCCAGGTTCAGTTCTGGGGCCTTACCAATCTCTGGTCTCTGACCTGACCCCATGATCATATTGAATGACATAGCAGGTTCATAGGGCTGAATGGCCTACTCCTGCTCCTTTTTTTTACATTTTCTACAATTTTCTGTTTCTGTAACCATAGAGCCCTCACTGGTTGTGCAATAATGTTCTCACATTTCCTTGTTTCCTGATTTCAGTTGCGAAAGTACCTTTTTCCTGATTTGGACCTTATCCTAAAGTCATAGTATAACGTAACAGAGTGAGTTAGATTTGCTTTCTTTCTTGTTCTGCGTGCTGTCTTGTGCACCTTCAAAACCAATCGGTCACCCTGGAATACCCCAATGTTTTCCATCGCTTTTTCGTAATTCGATCTTCAAGTACAAAGGTGAAACCTTGTGGATGTCCTTCCCGCCACCGACCTGGCCAAATTCAGCTTTCACATCTCAGTCAGTGTGGATTCGAAGTGGTGAACCGATTCACCAGGTCAAGTGGATTAACTGAAGGGGATTAGGCTGAAACCCAACTTCATTACCTCGTACACAAATAGTTTTTGGTGGTTCAGAGAGAGTCAACTTCAACAAAGTGTGTCATTTTTTCTTTCAGCAATACTCAAGCTGTGTACTACCACCTGGCTATTTGTACACCCAACTTTCTTTTTTTTTCCCTGAAAGCTTTGCGAATGCTAGAACCTTAGAACACAGAATGAGACCATTCAGCCCATCTTAGACCATAAACTTTAAAAAATTGGAACAGCAGTAGGCCATTCGGCCCCTCGAGCCTGCTCCAATATTCAATAGGATCATGGCTGATCCAACGTTGCTCAAATTCACTTTCCTGCCTTTTCCCCATAACCTTCGATTCCAAGACTGATCAAGAATCTATCCATCTGAGCTTTAAATGTACACAAAGACTCTTTCCCTACAGCTCTTTGTGATCAGGAGTTCCAAAGACTCTCAACTCTCTAAGAGAAGAAATTCCTCCTGATCTCAGTCTTAAGTTGGTCCCCCTTTATTCTGAGACTGTGCCCTCTGGTCCTAGACTCTCCCATGAGAGGAAACATCCTCTCAGCATTTACCCTGTCAAGCCCTTTAAGAATCTTATGTGTTTCAATAAAATCATCTCTCATTCTTCTAAACTCCAGTGAATAAAGTCTCAACCTGTTTAACCTTTGCTCATAAGACAATTCCTCCAGACCAAGGATCATCCTAATGAACTTTCTATGAACTGCCTGCAATTAAATGATATCTTTTCTACAATAAGGGGAAAACTGTTCACAGTACTCCAGATGTGGTCTTACCAGTACCTTGTACAGTTATAGTAAGACTTCCCCACTCATATAATCCAACCCCTTTTGGAAAGGGCCAACATCCATGAGCCTTCCTGTTTACCTGCTGCACCTGTGTGCTAGCTTTCTGTGTTTCATGGACAAGTCCCCCCAAGTCCCTTTGTGTTGCAACTTTCTGCAGCTTTTCTCCATTCAATAATATTCAGTTCTTTCGTTCTTCCTTCCCAAATGAACAACTTCACATTTTCCCACATTATACTGCATTTGCCAGCTTTTTCCCCACTTACCTAACCTATCAGTGGTTCTATGTGAACTGTTTAGATTTAAATTTAGGATTTATTGTCACATTTGCTCAAGTACGGGGTACAGGAGAACAGTGAAATGCACACAATGTCACCACATATGGGCCACCTTAGGTACAATGAACGTAGGTACAAAATCGTAGTTACAGAGATAGAGAAATAAAGAAAAAAAAGTTAAAAAAAAGTTTAGCACTGTGTCTTCTTAGCATAAAAGTAGGAAAACGAAGAAATAATCTTAAAATGTCCAACATTACAGTCCTTTCTTGAGCCATGAGCCTGCAGATGCTCCAAGCTGGGATCCCCCAAGAGGGCTTACTCTCTGTATCCTTTCTTGTTTGTGCATGCTCTTTGAAAGAGCTGAATAATGAGTAGCGATACTCCCAGCTCCTTCCCCAGAGCTCTGCAATTTTTTGCTCCTTTCCAATATTTGTCCAGTTTGCCGTTGAATCTGCTTCTTTGAGGCGGTGACCTTCAGTTCATTACTCGCTGTGTTTGAAAGGAAATGGTGTCCTCACAATTGAATATTGTTAATGGATCTTTCCTTAATCATCTCTGGTCAATGGAGGATATTGCCCAAGCTTTCTGCATCACTGACATCCCTTTTTCCTGGTGCCGTTCTAATGAAACTCTTCTGCGTCATCTCCAAAGCTTTGACCATTTTGCTGTAATGCAGTGCTCAGTATTCCAGTAAGGGGAGATGTTGGCATAATGTTGTAGGAAGGATATTATTAAACTGGACAGGGTTCAGAAGAGGTTTACCAGGATGTTGCTGGGAATGGAGAGTTTGAATTATAAACAGGCTGGGACTTCTTTCACTGGTGCTTGGGAGGTTGAGGGGTGACCTTATAGAGATTTACAAAATCATGAGGGGCATAGATAAGGTGAAAAACAAAGGCCTTTTCCCTAAAGTGGGAGAGTTCAAACCTCTGAGCGTATTTTTAAGGTGAGAGGAGAAAGGTTTAAAAAGGACATGAGGGGCAACTTTTCTTACACAGAGGCTAGTTCATGTGTGGAATGAACTGGCAGTGGAAGTGGTAGATGCGGGTACAGTCACAATGTTAAAAAGACATTTGGATAAGTACATGAATAGGAAAGGTGTGGAGGGATATGGACCAAACGCAGGCAGGTGGGACTAGTTTAGTTTGGGAACATGGTGGGACTAGTTGGACCAAAGGGTCTGTATGACTCTATGGTAATGTCTCTTAGTGATCCAGGCTAATGCTATTCAACTCTCACCAGGGCAGCTCGTAGATTATTAATATTGGGAGTTCAACACTTCCCTCCTTGATCATAAAATTATCATTATTTCATGGGGAAAAACCGTCTAATGCTCTTTAGGGAAGGAAAGCTGGTCTGGCCTACATGTAACTCGAGACCCACAGCAATGTAGGTGAGTCTTAACTAACCTCTGAATTGACCTCCATTCCCAGAAATGGACAACAAACCATTGGCATTCATGTCTCATCTAAGAAAAGGCTGCGTTTGTGACCCAATGCCACTGGTAGACAGTACATTTGTGTAAGATTGAAATGTTACTTTTAAACTTGCATCTGTCAGCAAAACACTGTATATCAACTGAATCACCCGATCCTAGCTACAATACTTTCAGTATTAAAGGGTGTCTGGTCAATGTAACTAACCGTTTATTACTGATAAGATGAGTAAAGAAAATGTCTGTTCTGTATCAGCTGTAGAAGTTATTGACTAATGACAAGGGCTTCCATCAAATAGCAAATAGCAGACACTCGGAATCAACCCCATCAAATTTAAGAACAAAGAGTAATGTATAATTGACCACGCAATCATCTCCATCCATAGTGCAGGGTAAGATGGAATGATTGCTTTGCAAATGTCAAAATTCCTCTTCCCATTCCCATCACTTGTTGTTGTAACTGCATTGTGGGAGCACCTGCACACACACAGATCCTGTGTTGATAGTACCCACTCCAAAATGAGAACCACCCCCTGATATGGACGTTGGTAGATACCAGGAGAACCCACCAACTCCCCTACAAATCATATCATGGGATCTTTTGTGTCCACCTGAGGGGGCAGTCGGCTTAGCATCTCATTGGAAAGTTTCAGCTTTGTCCTCCGGTCTCTGTCCCAGTCTCCATTCCCTAACTCAACTTTCACATTCCGAGCAGAAGAGTTACCAACTGGTTGATCATGAATGTCAACATTTACCATTGAAAACCGTGATAGATTTCAATAGGAGACAGAGATTTCACTTTGTTCTTAAGTTCTCTCCCTAATTTCCTAACATCCTCTTTCATCAAATATACCAGGCCCCAGTGAACTTGACCTCAGTTTGCTCGTGGATGTCACAGATGCTGTTGGTGTTGAGTCAGACTCTGATGATCAGGTAAACTACACATGTTCGTAATTTTTGTTTCTTTTTCCCAAACTCTGTTTCCTAATCCCAAATTCATGAAATAATCTCCACAAAGCATTCGTGTGAATGTTCTTGAGTAGAATCATTATTGAGAAACTAGTAAATTTATTCTGGCCATGTTGTACTAAGAATAGTATTCCTTCTCATTAAAAAAAAAACAAAATTGTGGATACAGGCAGCATTAGAAACTGAGTTAGCATTTTGATTGGTAATTGTCCTTCAGATAATTTAATCAGATGCTCAGATATAAGCAAAGAACCGCGGATGCTGGAGATGCGAAATAAAAAGCAGAAAGTGCTGGAGAAACTCAGCAGGTCTGGCCACAGCCATGAAGAGAGAAACAGTTAACGTTTTGAGTTCAATGGGAGCCTTCTGTGAAACTCCAAGGGTTTCTCTCTCCACATGTGCTGCCAGACCTGCTGAGTTCCTCCCTCCATCAATTCCTGTTTTTGTTTCAAGTAGATAATGGTCTGATCTCCTGGGGGTTTTTCTAGTATTTTCTATTTTTATTTTATGTCTAGCAAACATTCTTTTGAGTACTTTTTATTGTGGCGTTTCTAGCAACTGCACAACATTCCAAATTGGCTGTTTTGCCGAAAAGATTTATGTTCTTCCTAAAATTTGATCAACTGTTAAGTTACCAGAGATGGCTTGTTCTTTCATTGGCTCCTTGCTAGAATACAATATTCTGACAGAGCTTGGTCGTGTTACATGTGTCTGTACCAGTGGATAGGTTTTTGTTAATTCTTCAGCTATACCCTCTGCCTCCATGTATAGATGCCCTTTTTGGTCCCTTATTGGGTCCAGTCCTCCTTTAACCATCCTTTACGATTTATATAGCTATAGAGGATTTTGGGATTCTCCTTTAAGTTACGTGCCATTGTCTTTTCATACTCCCTCTCTGCCCCTCTTATTTTCTTTGTCATCAACTGAAATTTCTATATTCAGCCCAGGTCTCAACTGTATTTTCGACCTGACATCTATCATAAGCACGCTTTTTATAATTTCTTTTTAATCACAATTTGTATCTCTTTTGTCAGCCAGTCAGCTCTGGATTTGTTTTTCCTTTCAAAGGACCAGGCCTTGACTGCACCCCAACCATTTCTTTTTTGAAAGTAGCCCATTGTTCAGCTGCCATTTTCCTGCCAACTTTCGACTTCAATTTTTTACTCAGATCCATCCTTATATTATTGAAATTAGCTTTCCTGCAATTAATCATTCATTCTTTGACCTATTCCATAGTCACCTGAAACGTTATGATACAGCAATCACTAAACATTCTCCCACTGACACTGATTTCAACAACTAGGTTAAGCTGTGCCTCCTTTCCCATTGGACTAAACACATTATTTTGGTGAACATTGTCCTGAATACAACCTGGGATCAGTTGCCCCTCTCTGCCCTTTACACTACTCCTATCCCAGTCTGTATTAAGATAGTCATGGAATCATAGAGTCATACAGCACAGAAACAGACCCTTCAATCCAACCAGTCCATGCCGAACATAATCCCAAACCAAACTAGTCCCACCTGCCTGCTCCTGGCCCATATCCCTCCAAACCTTTCCTATTCATGTATCTATCCAAATATCTTTTTAACGTGATAATTGTACCCGCATTCACCACTTCATCAGGAAGTTCTTCCCACACGTGAACCACCCTCTGTGTAAAACATTTGCCTCTTATGTCTTTTTTAAAATCTCTGTCCTCTCACCTTAAAAATGTGCCCCCTAGTCTTGAAATTCCCAATCTTAGGGAAAAGACAACTACCGTCAACTTTATCTATGCTTCTCATTATTTTATAACCTTCTTTCAGATCACCTCTCAACCTCCTACCTCCAGTGAAAAAAGTCCCAGCCTATCCAGCTTTTCCTTCTAATTCAAACCTTCCATACCTGGCAACATCCTGGTAAATCTCTTCTGAACTCTCTCCAGCTTGATAATATCCTTCCCATAACTGGGCGACCAGAACTGGACACAGTATTCCAGAAGATGCCTCACCAATGTCCTGTACAACCTCAACATACTATAACATAAGATAATTAAGGTTTCCTTTTATAACTACTCAATAATCTTCACACCTCAGTTTGTGCCTCTATATCCTTCCCACCAGTTGGTGGTCTATAGATTACACCAACCAACATTCCTTGGCTCGAGTCTGTCCTTGACCCCTCTTGGACATCCTTTGTCCCCAATACTCTAACCCTCTCCTTACATGCAGAATGTACTCTACTACTGATTGAACTGGTTGGTCCTACAGTACAGAGCAGCTAGACTTGGGGGGTCTGCATCAGGTGGTAAGGGAACCAGCAAGAGGGAAAAACATACTCAATGTCATCCTTACTAATCTGCTAGCTGCAGGTGCATCTGTCTATGACAGTGTCAATAAGAGTGACCATCGCACAGTCCTTGTGGAGCCAAAGTACCGCCTTCACATTGAAAATACCCCCATCATGTTGTGTGGCACTATCACTAAATGGGTTAGATAGCGACTCAAGACCGGGCATCCATGAGGCGCTGTGGGCCATCAACAGCAGCAGAATTGTACTCCAGCACAATCTGTAACCTCATGGCCTGACATATCCCCCACACAACCATTACCATCAAGCCAGGGGATCAACCCTGGTTCAATGGAGAGTGTAGGAGAGCATGCCAGGAGCAACACCAGGCATACCTGAAAATGAAGTGTCCACCTGCTGAAGCTACCAAACAGGACTGCTTGCATGCCGAACAACATAAGCAGCAAGAGATAGACAGAACTAAGCGATTCCAAAACCAATGGATCAGATCTAAGCTCTTCAGTCTTGCCACATCCAGTCATGAATTGTGGTGGACAATTAAACATTCACTGGAGGAGAAGGCTTCAACAATATCCCCATCCTCAATGATGGAAGAGCCCAGCACATCAGTGCAAAAGATAAGGCTGAAGCATTCGCAGTAATCTTCAGCCAGAAGTGCTGAGTGGATGATCTATCTCAGCCTCCTCCAGTGATCCCCAGCATCACAGATACTAGTCTTCAGCCAATTCAATTCATTCCACTCTTCATATCAAGAAACAATTGGAGACACTGGATACTGCAAAGACTACAGGCTCTGACAACATCTGGCAATAGTACTGAAGACTTGTGCTCCAGAACTTGTCACTCCCCCAGCCAAGCTATTCCAGTACAGTTACAACACTGGCATCTACCCAACAATGTGGAAAATTGCCCAGGTATGTCTTGTACACAAAAAGTAGGACAAATCCAAACTATCCACTTTCTGCCCCATCGGTCTATTTGTGATTATCAGTAAAGTGATGGAAGCTGCCATCAATAGTCCTATCGAGCAGCACCTGCTCAGCAATAACCTGCTCAGCGACGCCCAGTTTGGGTCCCGCCAGGGCCACTCAACTCCTGATCTCATTACAGCCTTGGTTCAAACATGGATAAAAGAGCTGAATTCCAGAGGTGAGGTGAGAGTGACAGCCCTTGATATCAAGGCTGTATTCACCAAACGTGGCCTCAAGGAGTCCAAGCAAAACTGGAGTCAATGGGAATCAGTGGGGATGATGTGTGCAGAATTGTCTGCTTGTTTTAAATCATACCCAGCACGTAGGAAGATGGTTGTGGTTGTTGGAGGTCAATCATCTCAGCTCCAGGACATCTCTGCAGGGGTTCCTCAGGGTAGTGTCCTAGGGCCGACCATCTAGAGCTGCTTCATCAATGACCTTCCCTCCACCACAAGGTCGGAAGTAGGAATGTTCGCCGATGATTGCACAATGACAGCCAGCTGGGATGCCTCAGGTAATGAAGCAGGATATGTCCAAATGCAGCAAGAACTGGACAAAATCCAGGCTTGGGCAAAAAAGTGGCAAATAACATTCACGGCACTCAAATGCCAGGCAATGGCCATCTCCAACAAGACAGAATCAAACCATTGCTTGTTGACATTCAATGCCAAGTTCCATTTTCCCCTTTTCTAACAGCACCCTGTATCCAGGAATATTTAAGACTGAGTCCAGTCCCTCCTTGAGCCAGATCTGTCACCTGCAACATCATATTTCTACAGGTCAAGCTGAGCACCTGAGTCCCCAAACTTGCTGCACTCTGTGCATTTACATACATGCATGGTAACCCAGAATTAGACTCTAGTATTTTCTCTGACCACACCTATCAATTTACCATTCTCTATTCTAGTAATTTTGTGCATGCTCTGATAGTATCTCATTGTTTTACACATTCCTGCTACATCAGTTGAACCCTCTCCAATAGCACTGGTAAATCATCCCTAGCAAGGAACTCGATCCCAGCTCTGCTCAAGGGCAGACCATACTGCTCATACAGGTTCCAGTCTCCCCAGAGCTGATTCTAATGTGCCAAGAATCTAAATTTCTTCCTCCTGCATCAGTTTTCCAGCTGTCCATTCATCTGTTTTATCCTTTTGTTTCTGTACTCACTTGAGTGAGGCTGTGGCAGTAATCTGGAGATTGCTCCTTTTGAAGTGCGAGTTTTCTCTCTAAATTCGAAATGCAGGATTATTTTCCTTTTTCTACCTATGTTGTTGGTTCCAACCTAAATCTAAACTGGAATGCACAGTCCAGGAACTCCCTCCCTAACTGTGTGGTGAATGTAATTACAGCAGGTACACACTGCAGCAGTTCAAGGGGGTGGTTCACCTCCACCTTCTGAAGAACAGGTAATAAACGTTCTGTTTCTCCAATGCAAATTGTGCAAACAAACAGTTTCAGATTCCCTCAAACATCCACCCAGTCTAGTGGCAGCTACAATCCTATCGTTTCTTTACTGATTATCTTTCTGAAAGGAAATTGTGAAAACCAAAGGGTAATGTGATTGACTAAAAATCAAATTCCTTTCCTCATCGAACAAACATAGTTTGAAATGCCACTGTAAGACTTACCTCAACAGGGATTCTCGCAGCAATGAAACTTAGCCAGTGAACAGTGTTTTACTTAAAAAGAATATTGCTTGGTACTAATTAGCATGGAGTAAGAAATGTGGTACCTAATGGGAAATAGACTACAGCGTATTGAAATGATTTGTGAGGATGAGGGAAGGCACCTGTTATTATCTGTGCTGTACATTTCTCTCCATTTATTTCAATGAGCTCAAATAACATTTCCCGTGTCAGAACTGATTTAGTTTTCCATTAGAAGCTGCTTTCGTTGCAGAGATCTGACTCAGTGCTCTATCAGCAACAGTCAACACATTTCAAACTTTGTTCTGTTGGGGACTCCCTGTGCAGGAGGTGGCCATTTAGCTCATCATTCCTGTGCTAGCTCTCTGAAAGAACTACTTTCAAAAAGGCGTGGTCGTTTTGTTGGTTAACCGCTCATCTGGATGGGTTCTGAGGAAGGGTCACAGGACCTGAAATGTTAACTCTGATTTCTCTCCACAGGTGCAATCCCGTAGTTTCTGTTTTTGTCGCCCATGTAGAACATTATGTTTGTGACAGGTTGCTATGTGTTAATGGCACACCCTGTTTCCTACTTTACAACAATGACAGCACGTCAAAATAGTGTAACCTAAGCTGTAAAGTGCTTTGGGGTGTCACAAGGTACCAAGAGGTTGGTAGCTTTTACCTTCAGCATCGTCTCGGAGTTACATTTCTGCCCACATCGTGTACCTTTGGCTATTGCTCATGAACCTTCTCTGTGAATTCAAAGAATCCAGTGAAGCTGTTTGGAAGCCAATCTTCTAACTCAACCCAGTGCATTACAGCTAGTCTCCGGGCATCATTCATAGAATCCCTGCAGTGTGGAACCAGGCCATTCAGCCCAACAAGTCCACACTGACTCTCTGAAGAGCATCCCACCCAGACTCACCCCCCTACCATATCCCTGTAACCCTGCATCTCCCATGACCAATCCACCTAACCTGCATGTCTTTGGACTGTGGGAGGAAACCCACACAGATGCAGGGAGAATGTGTAAACTCCGCTTAGACAGCCACCCAAGGCTGGAATCGAACCCAGATCCCTTGTGCTGTGAGGCAGCAGTGCTGACTGCCGCGCCACTGTGCCACCCTATAACAAGTAGAATTTTTTTTTTTAATTGTTTGGGAATTGCTGACACAGTCAACATTTATTGCCTATCCTGCCTTTTTGACCAATCATTTAGTCGTCTGCCCTAAGACCTCCTCATGTGATTCTCAGTCTAATTTTCCCTCATAATGCCTGATGAAATGCTTTGGTATGTTTTATTGTACAGGAATGTTCGACAGTCCCTAAATGGCCTCAGGTGTATGTGCACCAACTGTTGTCTCAGGCTTCTTTATTCACTCACAGAATGTGGGTGTCTCTGGCTGGGCCCAGCCACTGTTGCCGAATCCCCAGTTGCTCCTTGAGAAGGTGGTGGTGAGCTGCCATCTTGAACCGCTGCAGTCCACCTGCTGTAGGTTGACCCACGATGCCTTTAGGGAGGAAGTTCCAGGATTTTGACCCAGCGACAATGAAGGAATGGGGAGGCAATGGCCTAGTGGTATTATCACTGGACTGTTACTCCAGAGACCTGGGTAACATTCTGGGGACCTGGGTTCGAATCCTGCCACGGCAGATGATGGAATTTGAATTCAATTTTAAACAAAAGTCTGGAATTAAGAATCTAATGATGACCATTGCCGATTGTGGGGAAAAACCCATCTGGTTCACTAATGTCCTTTAGGGAAGGAAACTACCATCCTTACCTGGTCTGGCCTACATGTGACTCCAGACCCGCAGCAATATGGTTGACTCTCGAACGCCCTCTGGGCAATTAGGGATGGATAATAAATGTTGCCCAGCCAGCGACGTCCTCCTCCTGTTAACAAATAAAGAAACAAAAAATTTCCAAGTCAGGATGGTGAGTGCCTTGGAGGGGAACTTGCAGGGGGTGGTGTTCCCATGTATCTGCTGCCCCTGTCCTTCTGGATGGAAGTGGTGTGAGTTCGGAAGGCTATGTCTAAGGTTCTTTGGTGAATATCTGCAGTGCCTCATATGGATAGTACACACTGCTGCTACTGAGCATCGGTGGTGGAAGGAGTTGATAGTCATAGAGACATAAAGTTATAAAGTATGGAAACAGACGCTTCGGTCCAACTCATCCTGCTGACCAGAAATCCAATCTGACCTAGTCCCATTTGCCGGCATTTGGCACGCTTGCCTTTATTGGTCAGTGCGTTGACTGTCGGAGTTGGGATATCATGTTGTGGCAGTACGAGACGTTGGTCAGGCTACTTTTAGAATACTGTGTTCAATTCTGCTCTCCCTGATATATGAAAGATGTTGTAAAACTTGAAAGGGTTCAGAAACAATTTATGAGGATGTTGCCAGGGTGGGAGGGTTTGAGCTATGGAGGGAGGTTAAATAGGCTGGGGCTATTTTCCCTGGAGCATTGGAGGCTGAGGGGTGATTTTATACAGGTTTATAACATCATGAGGGCATGGACAGGGTGAATACCCTTTTTCCCAGGTTCAAGGAGTCTAAAACTAGAGGGCATTGGTTTAGAGTGAGAGGGGAAAGATTTAAAAGGGTCCTGAGTCGCAGCTTTTTCACATAAAGGGTGGTGTGTGAATGGAATGAGCTGCCAGAGGAAGTGGTAGAGGCTGGTACAATTACAACATTTAAAAGGCATCTGGATGGGTAAATGAATAGGAAGGGTTTAGAGGGATACAGTCCAAATGCTAGCAAATGGGGCTAGATGAATTTAGGATATCTGGTTGGCATGGACAAGTTGGACCGAAGAGTTTGTTTCCGTGTTGTACTACTTCAGAAACGGTCCTGACCCGTAACGTCAACTTTCCTGCTCCTCTGATGCTGCCTGGCCTGCTGTGTTCCTCCAGCTCTGCACTGTGTTATCTCTGACTCCAGCATCTGCAGTTCTTACTATCTCTGAACTGTGTGGTAGGCACCACATGGGGACATGGATTCAGAACCCACCCTAGTAGCTTGTGGAATTTGAATATAACTAATTCATCTGGAATTGAAAACTAACTTCAGTGATGGTAACCATGAAACTGTCATTGACTGACTGCCATCTGATCCAAGAATGTCAAGCAAATTTGCCCTCTCTCTTCACTCTCTCTGGCCAACAAGTGACTCCTAAACTCACAGTCATGTGGGCAGCTCTTAACTGCTTTCTGAAATCACAGAAATATTACGGCGTGAAAGGAGGCCATTCAGCCTGTTGTACCTGCACTGGCTCGTTCATTCATTCATGGGATGTGGGCACCACTGGCTGAGCCAGAATTTATTGACCATCCCTAATTGCCCAGAGGGCAGTTAAGAGTCAACCACATTGCTGTGGGTCTGAAGTCACATGTAGGCCTGACCAGGTAAGGATGGCAGTTTCCTTCCCTAAAGGACATGAGTGAACCAGATGGGTTTTTCCCCACAATTGGAAATGTTTTCATTAAACTCTTATTTCCAGATTATTTTGAATTCATATTCCATCATCTTCCATAGTGGGATTTGAACCCAGGTCCCCAGAATGTTCCTTGGGTTAATAGTCTAGCAATAATACCACAGGGCCACTGTCTACCTGTTGATGCTTAAATGAGCATCATTACCCAGTGCCAATTTCCTGCTTTATCCCCATACCCTTACACATTATTCTTATTAAAATAATCATCCAATTTTTAAAATTTGATTTATTATTGTCACATGTACCTAGGTACAGTGAAAAGTTTTGATTTGCGTGAAGTACCGGCAGATCATACCATACAAAGTGCATCAGGGTAATAGAATAGAGTGAAGAATACAGTGTTACGGCTGCAGAGAAGTTGCACAGAGAGTGAGATCAACATTAAGTTTAAAATTTGAGAGGTTAATTCAGAAGTCTGATAACAGCAGGGAAGAAGCTGTTCTTGAATCCTTTGGTACATGTGTTTAAGCCTTTGTATCTTCTGCCCGATGGAAGAGGTTGGAAGAGATTATAACCAGGGTGGGAGGGGTCTTTGATGATGTTGGCTGCCTTCCCCAGGCAGCAGGAAGTATAGACGGAGTCAATGGATGGAAGGTTGTTTTGCATGATGCACTGGGCTGTGTTCACAGCTCTCTGTGGTTTCTAATGGTTCTGGGCAGAGCAGTTGCCATATCAAGCCATGATGCATCTGGATAGAATGCTTTTAGAATGGTGTGTCTATAAAAATCAGTAAGTGTCTTCATAGACATGTCAAATCTCCTTAGCCCTTGAGGAAATGGAGGCATTGCTTTCTTGACTGTAGCATTGATGTGGGTAAACCTAATATGACCTAACAAGTAACTCAGCTCAAGGGCAGTTAGGGATGAGTTCCAAATGTTGCCTTTTCCAGCTGCACCTCCATCCCATGAAAGAATAAAAACAAAGCAAGATATAACTCAAAAGCACTGTAGCATCCACTTCAATAAGATTTTTGATTTTATCTTTGTATTTGGCAGATGGATAAGTGGTCCACAACTTCTGAAGATTGCAAAATGGAAGGTTAGTATTGATCTTAGTTTGGAAATCCAGGTAATGAGCCAAAGCTTGCTGGCTGTCTGGGTCACCCTCAACAGTAATTCAGAGGCTCAGGCTAATCCTCTGGGGGAGGTCACGGGTCCCAGTGCAGAAGAACAGGTCTCTTCAAAGCCTCCCTATAGAAGGTCATTCTAGCTCTGTTTTGACCCCCAGCCTCAAACACTTTTTGCAGGCAGAGACAGAGTTCCAGATTTCCACTACCCTTTGCATGAGAAATCCTTTCCAACATCACAGCTGAATGTTGGCCATTACTCCATTCACATTGAATTTTCCCACCATTTACCCACCAAGTTCTATAAACATCTAAGAGAAGATATACTGGCACTGGAGGCATTCCAGGAGAAGGTTCATTTGGATGGACTGTGTCATGACGAGAGGTTGGACCCATACTCAATGGAGTCTGGAAGAATGGCCTTATGAAACATACTCACCGGGGCACATGCAAAAAGGTTGTTTCCTCCTTTGTGGAACAGTCTAGGAGCAGAGGGCATCATCTCAGAATAAAGGAGTGCAGGTTTAAGGCCGAGACGAGGTGGAATCAATCTTTACCATCGAGGGCTGTGGGTAATTAAATATATTCAAGGCTGAGAGGGAGATTTTTAATTCAGTAAGGGAATCAAGGGTTATGGAGAAAAGGCAGGAAAGTAGAGTTGAGGATTATCAGATCAGCCATGATCTCATTGAATGGTGGAGCAGACTCGATGGGCTGAATGGCCCACTTCTGCTCCCACACATTGTGGTCTTAACTTATCGCCCCCTCTTCGGTTCTGAAGGCTGTAAAACCCTGGGTAAAGATGGCTTGGCATTGCACTTATCAGGAATCTGACATTAAAGTGTAACCATGAAGAACATTTGATTGCTATAAAATTACTCAACAAAAAAAAAATTACAAGAACAACTCATCTCCTGCTCTGTTAGACCTGGTAATCCTTTGCCCTATCTAAAATGTGAGGAAAGCTCAGAGGAACAACTCTTACAATCTGTTTGTTAATTAATTTTTCAATTAATAATTTTTTTTGCAGAAAACCTGAAGCAAACCAAGGTTATATTTGTTATCGGTAAGTAGAATTTAGAGCAGCTTTATCAAATGAGCCTCTCTTGCCTCTTCAGTGACTGGGACTGGTTAATTATACCAACCAACACATTTTTGCTTTGTGAGATGTTGATGACTCCAGGCATACAGTTAACCATTAGAACACAAAGGCTGGAAGACTCACATTTAAATGCTGTGTTTCACAACCTCCATATAGTGATGTACAGTTTGAATTGTTAGATGAATCCTTGAAGTAAGCTGTGATTTAACTGCGACCTCTCCAGTAATGTGTTAGTCTATATACTGTTCCCAGAGGTACTGCCCGTGGTTGGCTCATCATGTATCTGCTGTAGCTAAAGGCAACACGGTGGCTCAGTGGTTAGCACTGCAGCCTCACAGCACCAGGGCCCAGGTTCAATTCCAACCATGGGCAATTGTCTGTGTAGAGTTTGCACATTCTCCCTGTGTTTGCGTGGGTCTCCTCCCACAGTCCAAAGATGTGTAGGTTAGGTGGATTAGCCATGCTAAATTGCCCCATAGTGTTCAGGGATATGTAGGTTAGGTTGATTAGCTATGGGAAGTGCAGCATTACAGGGACAGGATAGAAGATGGGTTGCTCTTCAGAGAATTGGTATGGGCTGAATGGCCTGCTTCCACACTGTAGGGAATCTATGAAGACTGTTTTGGAAGTACCTGGGAAACTAGCCTAAGCATGTAGGAAGAATGAATGAATCCACACTAAAACACTCAAGAGGGTCCCATAGCTCCATGATCAATAATGTACTTTTTTTAAGAAAGGTAGTCGCTGTTGCTGGGAAACATGATTAACAGTTTTCACCCAGCAAGATCCCTCAAATACTGACATTCAAATAGTCATTTGGTGGGAGAGGGCTAGACTGTGGCTCATCAAAAAGACACATTTTGTTGAAGATTTACACCTTACAGTCATCAGGACAATTACATTGAAAACCAATTTAAGATTCCCACAGTTGGGTTGCAGTGTGGCACACTTGTGTGCTCTGGAGATCACATATGGTCATATATACGGCAGACAGAAACATGCATACCGTGCCTGTGTTAATTTAACAAAAATAGGTGACAGCCATTCTCTGGTCTATTCCTCAAGACAATTTCCAGACCAACTGCCTGGATTAACTTTAAACAAAGCTTGGCAGTTAACTGTCGGGCATCATCTAATTGGTGCATGCTGTACAGTGCGTCTCAACCACCAGAGTCCACTTACTATCAATCAACACTCCTCATCCAGTGTAAAGTGCTGGTTTCCCTTTCTCACTTTTGTGAAGGGATGAGCACAAGATAAAAAGCTTCAACAAAATGTGCCTTTTCTCTGCGATACCCAAACACCAGTGTGGTGACTATGAGGTAATCTGGTGAAATCAGAGTCAATATTTCACAGCCTAATCTCTCTACTGAAGCTGCGTGGCCTGTTGACTATTCTCAACATGTTGCTGCTTTAGAAACCTGCAGCATCGCAGTATTGAAAGTGATATTTGTTGAAGGATAGATAATGACCAGTCTATCAGGAAGAATTTGCCTATTCTGCTTTGAAATAGAGGCCATAGAATCTTTTATGTTCCACGTGAGAGGGCAGATGGGGTCTTTGGTTTACTCAACTGGAGGACCTTATTCCTTCAGTTCTGACCTTTTTCTGCAATCTGAGCTCTTATTTTTAACACTGATGGATCATCTGCACAGCTTGTAGAAAGACTCTTGAATAATAGGAGCCTGGTAAATGCTTCTACCTGAAGCACATACCTACATTAGGCTGCTGACCTCTGCACAGGCACTTGTCATAGTGGAGTTTTAGGCAACACACGGTTTATGAATGAAAGAGTGAGTGAAGTGCACTTTTGACAGTGACCTAACTTTTATTAATGCTCTCAGGGATGAGAATGGTAATGAGTTTTGTTTGTCTGTACAATCTTCCACAAATCTAGAAACGGGTTAATACCTTCAGTGAAACAACAGGAGGAGTTTCAAATGAATGCAGTGACACATTCATTACTAACAACGCTCTGGGCCACTGATGGCTCTAATATTTCTATCAGTAGCACAGCAGGTTCTGCTCCTGACTACATTCGTGGGAACACAGCAGATAGTGAGTAGCCATCATTTTATCAATCTGTGTCCCAAGATAACATTGTTCAACCTGGCCATTTGTGTGATCCCTGTAGCCACCTGGCCAACAGACTTGATGAAGAAGATTATTGCACACGCGTGAATGATTGCACAGATTCATCTTGTTGATTTATATCCTCTCGCTGAATTTTGAAAATAAATTGAGATTCATTCTGGCTGCACTTCAGGAAACCACTTCAGTTAGACCAGAGTAGGGACTAATTCCGAGAGTAGTCCTTGACGTGAAACTATTGTTACCTTTCCTGCCAATGTTATGCCTGCCCAGGGACATAGGAGTTAGATGTGATTCAGCATTTGTACAACCTTTGCTGGATAATCCGAAATGTGCAAGGAATTACACAGATGATGAATTGTCAGTCAAGCTCGCAGTCTGGTGCCTGTCTGTGCACTGGAAGGTACAAATATTAATATACATTATGTTCATTGCAGATAGAACACGTACACACAGGGTGCCTGTGTCAACTCAACAACATAGATGACAGCCATTCATTGGTTAATTTCTCAGTAATGCCCTGCCTAATCAGGTATCTGTCTGACTTAAAATTTAAACAAAGCCTTCCTGTCAATTAACAGGTACATTAATCGCAACGCCTCTACCAAACATTGTTCACTTTCCAACCAATCAGCTGTCTCCCCTTGTGCTGTCTAATTGTTAGTTTTCCCCATACATTTCTTTCGTTTCCCCCTTTATTCATTCACAAGATGAGGGTGTCGCTGGCCAGGCAGCAATTATCACCCATTGCTAATTATCCAGAGGTGATGGCCTAGTGATATTATTGCTGAACTTTTATCCCAGAGACCCAGATAATGTCCTGGGGACCCAGGCTCGAATCCTGCCAGAGCAGATGGTGGGAATTCCCAGAGGGAATGTGCAAACTGGGTGGGATTTGCACTTTTTCACTGTGTCTGTGTGGGTTTCCTCTCACAGTCCAAAGACGTGCAGGTTAGGTGGATCTAGGGTGGGATGCTGTTCGGAGGGTTAGCGTGGACTTGAAGGGTCGAATGGGCTGCCTCCACACTGTAGGGATTCTATGAAGTTCTATGAGTCACCCACATTGCTGTGGGTCTGGAGTCACATGTATACCAGACCAGGTAAGGATAGCAGATTTCCTTCCCTAAAGGACATTAGTGAATCAGATGGGTTTCTCCTGATAATCAACAATGGATTCATGGTCATCATTAGTCTCTTCGGTTCAGATATTTATTGGATTCAAATTCGACTGCCTGTTGTAGTGAGATTCAAACCTGGGTCCCTAGAACATTATCTGGGTCTCTGGGTTAACAGTCCAATGATGACACCATTAGGTCATCGCCTCCCCTATTTGCACTCTTGCAGATTATCCCAAAGAGTACAAAATAAAAAGCTTTACAATCTCCTCACCCCTAGCCTCAACCCATGTCCAAGTCTCCCTCTCATTCCCACCTCCTTGACCTGACACAACCCGACCATCTTCTCTCCCAACCATCCTACTGCCTACCTGCACTCACCTATCACCATCCCACCTACCTTCCCCAGCCCCACCCCTCTCTCTATTTATTACTGAGCTCCCCTCCCCTCTCCCATTTCTGAAGAAGGGTCCCAACCCAGAACGTCGACTCTCCTGCTCCTCTGATGCTGCCTGGCCGCTGTGTTCCTCCAGCTCCACACTGTATCTCTGACTCCAAGCATCGGCAAATCTTGCTATCTCTACAAAATGTGTAGATTTTTCGGCAAGACATAGAAATTGTTAAAGTAGAAAAGACCAAGATCCACCTTTTTCTTTAATTCCATCGTTGATGCATGGCAGCTTCATGAAGTAATAATGGGGAAACTCTTCACTACCTGTGACAATCATTCTCAATCAAATTAGCCGACACAAAGTGAGGGGAAACTGCCCAGTGGTGGTGTGCATTGGCAGCCTAAAGGTCCAAAATCATACTTCTTTCTTTAAACTAACCATGGCTCAGTTCGTAGTTCTCAGAACTTAGCTTGTCTCTGTTTGCCTCTCTTGGGATCTGCATCAGATGGTGCAGACCTCCCTTAATCCTGCCTTAAAGTAACTGCCTAATGGAAGGCACAAGACTCTGAAAGAGAACTCGAGAGCACAACACGCTGATCCAACGGTGAGGAACAGTGACCCCCCTCCTCTAGGTGCTGCTGAATTCTGCCTCAGTGACCTTCTCTCACCAGCTGATTGCCTCTTGGCGTTTCCTTTCCCACGCTCCTCCAGACAATGCTGACGGCATATCTTGGGCTCCTTGCCTCACCTGCCCCTCCAGGTGCTGCCGACTGCCCATCTCGGTGTATCCTCTAGCCCGTTCCTCACCCTTGGATCAGCGTGTTGTGCTCTCGAGTTCTCTTTCAGACTCTCGTGCCTTCCATTAGGCAGTCACTTTCAGGCAGGATTGAGGGAGAGCTGCACCATCTGATGCAGTCTTTCGGATTAAACCAAGGTCCTGTATGCCCTCTTCAGTAGATGTAAAAGATCACATGGCACCATGTCTAATACAGGCTCACAAAACATTAGCCAGGCATGGTGCACTGTGCTGTGACTGATTTAGCTGTAAGGTGCAAGGCTGCAGTTGAGTGCCTCATGGTAAAGTTCATGTGATCATGCCAAGCTGTTCTAGTCCAGATACAACACTGGCATCTACCCGACAATGTGGAAAACTGTCCAGGTATGTTCTGTGCACAAAAAAGTAGGACAAATCCAAGCCAGCCAATTACCGCCCCATCAGTCTACTGTCAGTCATCAATAATGTGATGGAAAGCATCATCAACAGTGTTATCGAGCAGCACCTGCTCAGCAATAACCTGCTCAGTGATGCCCAGTTTGGGTTCCGCCAGGGCCACTCAGCTCCTGATCTCATTACAGGCTTGGATCAGACATGGA